AACATGTTTACCATGTTTCAGAAACATTTTCAGTGAAATATTTAACTAAAACATTTCAGAAATATTTCCGAAACTTGTGTTAAAAATGTTATATGTTTAAAACGTTTGAAATATTTAAGAAACTTTTCTGAAATAATGTGTGCTGTATGGGCTAGTTAAATTATGTTTCAAATAAATGGACGTGGAGGTCATCCCCGAGAATTTTCCTGACAAAATCGTTAAAAACAACCCGAAAGTCATTGTGGGGGCGTTTTTTGGGTAGCTAAATCCAAATTTTACGTCGAAAACAACCCCCTGAAAACCTGGTGCACCGAAACCTGGACGCGGACCTGATCTCCGTAAGTTTTCCTCACACGTCGTCCCCGAGAATTTTCCTGAAAAGATAGCCAAAAACAACCCGAAAATAATTGTAGGGGCGTTTTTTTTTTGGGCGCTCAATCCAAATTTCAAGTCGAAAACGATCCCCTGAACACCTGGTGTACCGGATCCTAAACGCGGACCTTATCTCCGAGGGTTTTCCCCACACAATAGAAGAAGATGAATCCAAAATCGTTTTGGGGGTTTTTTTGGGTCACTAAATCCGAATTTCACGTCGAAAACGACCCTCCTAACACCTGGTGCACCATAACCTTTATCTTGGCATCAATGTCATTCCCATGAATGTCAACCAAACCTGATGTTTTAGATATGGACGTCAATACTGCAATAGCTGTGTGGAATTATTGATTCTAGTTAAATTGTGTGAGGAGGAAAGAAATGAATAAATAGAAAGTCAATATTTACGTAATTGGCATTTAAAAAATTTAAATTGAATTCAAATCAAATACAATCTAATTGTAACTTTACCTTACCTCATTAATTAATAACTTTAATTTTTAGATACATAACTAAATATCAAATTCTTCATCAAGTAGCACTTCACTAATCTGTTCATTTTCTTGGTCATCGACTGACGCATTCATAAGTAGAAAATCTTCCTCATATGAGGCCTCCCTCTCTGCCGCAATAACGTTTTCAACTGAATATCTTTCAGTAATGTTGCAAGTTGAGCCTACACAAATTTTACAGGCAAGATTTCAAGGGAAGCCGTGCTTCTTGCAACTACAGGACAACAGCTTACAATCTCCTGCGCATCCACAGAATATTAGTTCCATAATAATCTTGGGCGCAGGTTTTTGTGTCATATCTACAGGGACCAGTGTGTCGCCTTCCTTTCTCCATCCCCATTCTGTTGGGTCCATGGTCAGCTGGTCTCCGTGTAGCCAATCTTGCACTTGAAAATAGACCCTCTTTAGATGTTGTGTGGGGAGAATTTTTCCTAAATTAACTCTCCCCTCTAGAGCGGTTTTTATGTACATTTTTTACCTGTAGATATGTAGTAATTGGTCCCATTTTGGCTTGTACTTGTCAGGAACATTCGACTTCCTGAATGACAGTGGATCACTGTACATTGCCGGGATTAGCTGCGCCCCGTTCTCAAAAATTTCTTCTCTTGACAAACCAGCTTCCTTGAACTTCGTAGCATGAGCTTGAAGGTCTGGGAATTTCTGGAAGGTCTTAAAAAATTTAGTTTTACCCTGGTAGTATGTTGCTGAAACGGTATCGCATGCCGTTATTGCATGGAGCAACAAAATATTATCTGCAACTAGTGGTATATGAGACAAGCTTCTATTGTGTGAGAAAAATCCTCAAAAACGATGTTAAGGGCCAGATTCCGGTGCACTAGGTGTTCGGGGGGTTAATTACCCAAGATGACATTAAAACACCAAGAGATAGGAAACAAGACGAAAACTCAAGACGGTTGTATAAGTAGTTATTCTTACTATTTGAAACCGAAAGAAACAAGATTGCGCGTGAGTAAAAAGATGTTTTTAAATACCTTGTCCATAGGCGAATCCGCTTCTGTTGCCTGGAAAAAGAAAGCTAATAATGAGGACGAAGAACAACTTTAAACAGGGGATGAAACAGAAAGAAAATCAGATAAAGACTTGAAAACTTAAAGGAAAGTACTTGCCAAAAATGGAATCCCACTATTGTCAAGCCAGGATGGCCAAATTGTACCTAGAGTCCTTATGGACTTCCAAAGCTCAAGTTTATAGAATTTATAATTCCTGGTGCCAGCAAAAAAGCCTAGCACCATTATCCCAAATGATGTTTTTAAATACATTTGATGATATGAATTTTCTTTTCGCACCAAAAAAAGATGAGTGCTCTGTTTGTGTTACTCGACATACAGGCAATTTGGATGAAGCTGAATACCAGCTCCACCAGAAGAAAAAGATAGAAGCTAGAGAAGAGAAACGAAAGGACAAGAAGAGCAAACAAAATAAAATCTACACAATGGATTTACAATTTGTACTAGTATGTCCTAAATCAACAGTTTCACTTATATATTACAAAATGAAGTTAGTTATACACAACTTTACTATATTTAATATAAAAGCGAAGAAAGGATATTGTTTCATTTGGAATGAGACTGAAAGAGATGTGGGTTGTAACGAGTTCGCAAGTATTTTAAGTGTATTTATAAATAAGGTAAGTCATGATATTGGTGAAAATGATGACTTAATTTTGTACAGTGATGGATGCTGTGGCCAAAATATAAACGTCTTCCTTTCTAATGCTTTGTTGAAAATAGCTATTGATTAAAAAGTGACTATTTGCCAAACATTTTTAGAGAAAGGTCATACACAAATGGAATCAGACTCTATGCATGCCACGATCGAAAGAAAATTGAAAAATAAGAAAATAAATATACCAGCTGGCTATATTGAGGTATGTCTTGGCGTTAGGCAGACCCCAAAGCCACACACGGTAAAATAATTGATGCATGACTTTTTTAATAATTACTCAAATCTGCGGTATGTAAATACAATAAGACCTGGAGACAAGATGGACGTATAGATTACAAGCTGAGACATCTTGACAATTAGCAAATCTTACCAGTAAGACTGAACAAAATCTGATACAAGGGTAATTCCAAAACTTTACACAGAAAGGCTTAAAATTAAAAAGCAGAAATATGATGATCTTCAAGAAATAACAAAATCATTAGAACCAGATTATCAACAATACTATGATGCTTTGCCTCATGAATAAAAAGCACTGTAATGTATTCTAAATTTGTATAATTTTATATTGCTTGTAAGGAGCTTAGAGATTTTTTAAAGTTTTTTTATTAGTCGCATTTATCTGGATTCTTGTTTTGATCCATATTATAATAGAACCTATAAAACTAGTTTTTTATAATAGGTAATAAACTTTACATTGAGAAAAACATGTAACTCCAAATTAAAATAAATAAAAATTCTGAAAATCCCGTAACTCCTTTATTTATTTCTATTACATTATATTTTCAAAAATGCAATATATCGTCATGATTCTATGATAGTCCAGAACGTAATCCCAAAAAAAAATGTTTTTATTCCAATAACTTTAAAAGTTATTAATTTTTTTTGCTTCTCCTGCACAATTTTGGATTTTGGAGATACGAGGTTTTCTCATGAGGGTATCGATTGGGTAAAGTACAATGTTTTTCCATGCTTTTAGAGTATATTTCATTACGTTATCAGATGACGGTAAAAATTTGCAGTGGGCTCTTGGGCTATAAGAGTAAGTTTTATATAAATAAATCAATTACTTAGGTACTTAGTAGGAAAACTATTTAGTTAAATCGTCCTTTGTTATTTACCAATTTCTTTGTAATATTGTTTTATATTTACCCTTTATGGCTTAAGCCTTTATTTAATTTAATTTCAAAATTTCAATTATTCTTGTTTCGCTAATTAGGCTAAATTGGTCGCCGCTTAACCTATTTATATTTCATATGTGTAATTGAATTATTGTTTAATTTTAATATCATTGGGATGTCCACATTTCATTTTAGTGTAGGTAAATTAAATTAAAATTATTAATGCAGAAAAGTTTAAAATTAAAAATTTGATGTGATGGTGCGACATCTATAGACGATAGTCCGCAGTTAAAAAAAATAGAGAATAGTTACCTTATTTTTCGTCACTTCTAGATAGAAACATAATAATTTTAGTTAACTTTAACTAGATGTCACTGACAACAAAGATGTACAATCGTTTTCTTACTGTTATAATAAGAAAACTATAATTTAAATATATTAAAAACCAACACTTTATTGACAGTTGTCAATCATCACATACAAATTATTAGGCATTCCAACGACCTGTCAAACAATAGGTGCCAGTGGGAAATTCTTGTATATCTAAGAGGGTAGCGACATAATCTTGCAAGTTGGACACTATTTTTATTCGAAGTAGTAGTCGCCAAGCCTGCCAATTTATGAAGAAATGTATAGGTGGGTTTTTTAAATATTATTTTTATTGTGTTTGACATAAAATATTTAAATATTATCCATTATTCATGATTTTACGTAAAGTAGATAGAATACACCGTATGTCGCCACCCTTAGATATACCAAACCTTCCCACTGGCAATTCATTTGTTTGGAATGCCTAATAGTAAATTTGTTATTACATTTTTTTCTGTACCAAAAATGGCGTGCTTGCTAACCTGCCGGCTATACCATTGATTAATTTGTTTTTGTTAAACACTAGTAGATGTCACCACCTCTGCTGACGTGATACAATTTCTGCGTTTTACATGTTGTATTACTTTTTTTTTGTAATAAAGTAACAAACTCGACTTTGGTATATCTAATATAGTATTATTGTTTTAAAAACATCGATTAAACCACATACAGATTATATAAAAATTATTATTTTTTACTTTTAATAAAATGTCTGGACCAAAAATGGCGCATTTGTTAACTCTAGAAATAAATCAATAATAAAATTGTTTGAATTGAATCTTAATAGATGTCGCAACCACTGCTGGCATGTTTTATTTTCTGATTATTGTGTGTATCTCTTTTTAATCTATGTAACAAAGTAACAAACTCGATTTTAGTGTGTCGTATATAATTTTAATTCATTAAAAACATCTGATTAAAAAGTCAAAGCAGTGTTATTGAAACTAAAGATTTTATTTCTGGTTTTCGTTTTTGTATTTTTTCTTTAAGAAGAATCACAATTTTAAGTGCAAGGAAGTAATATGTGAAAAAAGAAAAATGACATAATACGACGTCGTAATTCAGTCAGATGGAAATCAATACCTACCAATGTGTTGAAGAAGCTTGATTTTTCAGTTAAATTTGTTTTAATTTTGGTCTAGTGATATCCTCTTCAATGCCCAAACAACTTCGAGATGAAAACTCTAATGAAGACGGACCCAGTGATGGCCAAAAGCCTCTCAAAAAAGCCAGATATGTATGGGAAGTTAAAGGTAAACACCACCTAAAAGATGCTTATAAGAATACTACAGCTAATAACAATAATAATAATAATAATGTAGATTTTTCTCTGGAAGTAGAAAATAATAAATTAACCGATAGTCATCCAGAAGTATTAGAGAACAATAATTTAGAGGATAAGAACATTAAAAGTGATGAGACAATTGAGGACAAAGATGCACCCCCTCATAGCAAATGTTGTAATAGTTGCTGTATTCAAAAATTACTAGAAGAAGCAGATGAAATAATGAGTGCAGAACTTGACGAGATATCAAATGAAATTCCTTTAACATTGGTGACCCCAAATCCAAAAAACGAAGACTATTATTTACGTAAGTGGCAAGCTAGACAAATTGCTAGAGGTTTTGTTGATAATACCATAAACAGTGTACTAGACACTTGGTCGAGTCGTCCGCTAGATGCTGCTGATATGGTAGATAACTATGCAAATGATGGTCAGGTAGAGGATGATGCTATTCTGATGGCTATTCAGTCTCATGGATTGCAGTCTAATTCGCTCTTGGATCAGCCATCTAGTTCTATTACTGAAAATGAGAGGACGCTGCAGAGAAACTCAGAAATAGAGGAATTTACCAACGATAATTTGGAGAATTTTGAAAATGAAAGAAAGGAGCAGGAAAGTGGTTCTAGTTTATTAGAAAATTCGGAATCTACTACTGACGGAGGCCCACAAGATTTAGGTATCGATGATACTATGGACTTTTTAAGTGCTGCTGTTTCAGTTGCTATTCAGAAAAAGGGCCTGTCTTATAGTTACTGAGGTGAAATTCTTCCATATATAATGTTTTTTTGGTCAAGACTGCATATTTGTATTTTGTATTTGTACCTAATTATTAATTTTTATATAATCGTTTAGTTGTTTTACCATAATTTATTTGGTCGTACTCGAAATAAATATGATTTTTTAATTAAATTATTTACTAAAATTATTTATTTCATTAAATTTAGAAAAAAATATAAAACATAATTCGATAAACCCAAGTTTTATTTTAGTTTTTAAATGAAAAAAATATGTATGAATAGGATAATATGAAAAAGTTTAAAATCTTTTAGTTAGTTCGAGCCAAAATATATAAAATGATAATAATACTTTAGTAATCCTTTTAGATCATATACATAATATAGGATGTCATTTACATGTAAATATGTACAATAATATTCACAAAACATATAAAATCTAACTAACACATTTACTTAAATATACAATTTAACAATAAATAGAGAAAATTAAAATTAGGACTGATATGCTTGAAAACACCCATTTGGCATAGGCTGTACCTACATTAGAAATTCATAAATACTATAGGGGCATTTTTGGGATAAATATCTTTTTAATTAGCATTTAAATAAGCTCAGACTATTAATTTGTTTTAGAGAGGTAATAATAATAATAATAAATCTTTATTTGTCCTTTTAGATTATGATATAGGATAAGTCAGGTATATAAATAAAAGTATAACTAAAACAAATCAGGTATAAACAACATAGCACTATTGAGGTAGGTACTCATTTATACTGTACACACAATTATCTATTAAGTAGTTTTTTAATTTTGTTTTAAAAATATTATAGGGGATGGTTGTTTCAATCGAGGATGGAAGATGATTAAAAGTAGTGTGGGCTGAGTTCAAATAGAGCTGATGAATGTTTTGGAATACGAATTGCTTCATTGTTTCGAGTGGGGTAATTATGATTATCTTGATTTTTAGAAAATGATGAATGATTTTTTTTAACATACAGAATGGTTTTAAAAATGTATGTGGCTGGGAATGTGAGTATATTATATTTTTTTAAATGATCCCTACATGTAGTTCTTGTTTCTAAATTGAAAATTAGTCTAATATTTTTTTTTATTAATAAAAACTCTTAAATCATTTGTACAGTTTCCTCACAGGATAACGTTAAGAGAGATATGAATAAACAAGAACATAGTATACCTGAAGAAGTTGATTAGTATTGAAAATATTTTTTAGTTGTAGGATTGCAATTCATATTGCTGTCAATCATAACTCCTAGGAACTTAGTTATATGAGAGAAAGAAATTCCCTCTGATAAAACTTTTACACTTATATTATCATAATTTCTAGAAAAAAATTGCATAATGACAGTTTTGCTAGAATTTAATATTAAGAAATTTCTTTTGCACCATACAGTAAATTGATATGTTAAATTATTAAGTTTTAAGAGAAGCTCTGCATCAGCTGCCAATGTGGTATCATCAGCATGCATAACAGTATAATCTGCTTTTATCTGTGATGGAAGATCATTTATATATAACAAGAAAATTAGTGGGACTAGAATTGACCCCTGAGGGACACCACGATCAATATCTTTAAAAGTAGATCGGTAGTCTTTAGTGGTGCCGCGAGACGAGAGATTCTCGTCTTGTCTCGTCTCGAACGAGACGAGAGAGACATTTTCTCTCGAAAAAAGATTCGAGACGAGAGAGTGTCATCTCTCGACGAGAATTTCTCGAACTCTCTCGGGCTCTCTCGAACAATTTTCTCTTTGCTTATTTGAAATTTTCAATTGCTTATCGTAACTTAAAATTTTAACATACATATTAGATTTCGAGATAGTCAAAAAGTTAACTATAATACACCTATTCTATAAATATTAAATGGTAACAAATGATACTTGTGTCATTAGGATTTTATAAATAGTGATTTATAGGAAAAAATAGTTCTCATTTCATTTATTTAAAATTTATACAATCATTTCTTATATTTAATCCATTCTGCTTTGGTGAGGTTACTTTTGAAGATAAGTTGAAAATGTTTAAGCGTTTTTTCGAAAAACTGTCAATGAAAAGGTAATACACATGAATGTATTATATACAGTGGGGACGAAAATTGTACCCTCCTCTATTTTAACTTCTAAATGAAAAAATATAACAAAACAAAAACGAGGTAAAACTTTTTGTTATAACGAGATGCACTTTACTTGAGACACGTAAGATAGAGGAAGTCTAGCTTTAAATTTTCTTATGGAAAGTAGGGTTATGTGATACCTCATTTAAAAGATATTTTCTATATTTTTACAACAGATTTAGGTTTTTATATTTTTACAGAAATTACATTAAATAAATTAATAAAGTAGGTTAAATTCTTTTTTTTTTATTAACCGCTTCAACCTCAAAGGATTATTACCGGAGGTATATTACCTTATAAATGCTGTTTTTTACAATAGTATACAATAGATAATTAACATTTTGGCTAGTACAGAGTAAAGTCAGTATTTTTTATAATTTTAAGCATTTTTTTACTGTTAGAGGGAACACTGCACAAATGACAATTTTTTGTAGCTGGTACTTTGTTCTTATACAGACATGTTGTGGGCCTTTACTAATTAGTTACATTCTTGATAACTCTCATATTAACAGTTATTGTTTATTATTAAGGAAACGCTTCTTGTACTTACTAAAATAAATAAATTAAGAATATCAAAGGTGATTTAAAAACCACTTGACGTATTACAATTTTTCATAACTTCTTAGCAAAAAAAACTTATTAAAAAATTATTTTCTAACATTATCTAACATTTCTTGGATTATTGCGGCACACGAGGATTATCAAGAATGTAATTTTTGTAAAAACAAAATAAAATTAAATCTGTTTGCTTGGAAGTAAATTTAATCAAAATATTTTTCAAATGAGGTATTACATGTCTTTACTTTTCATTAGAAAATTTAAAGATAGTAACGCCCTCTATTTTACGTCTCAAGTAAAGTGCATTTCATTACAACAAAAATATCACATCTAATTTCACATCTTTTTTGTTTTATGTCTCTATCTTCTTGCATTTTGAAAACATACTACAAAATGATTTCTTTTGACATCGCAGGATTGCATTAGAAAAAATCTAACTTCCAATTTAACCTCTTCTCCCCTCCCCGACTGACTTACAAAACAAAGTATTTTCGTTTTTAGTTAACGCTTAATCTGGGCCACTTATTACTTCAAATTTCAATTGTAAAACGACTGTGACAGACGGACAGACAGAGAGACATAAGTATTTCCTATTGCCAAATTTGGGTACTAATTAAGGATGTGCACGATGTATCGATGTTTAAAAAACATCGATTTTTAGGTTTCGATTATCGATGTTCAACATCGATGTTTTTTGCTAACATCGATTTTTACATTAACATGGATGATTTTCTTTTCAATGTTTCTTGGTTTTTTGTTAAGCGTCACGTTTAATTTGATGGTTTAAATTTCTTTTTCCTGTTTTTTTTGCTCTTCAATAAACGCTTTTGGAAAACATCGATGTTTACAGACACATCGATGTTTGAAAAAATTTGATCATCCCTAGTACTAATGCGCAAATTACTTGAAAAATTATTTGTTTTTGTCTTACAAATTTTACCGTTTTTTCATGTTTCGTCTTTCTTAAATTTAAATTTGATATTGTTTTATCACGAGAGAAACGAGACGAGACAAGACGAGAGGAAGGCTCTCTCGATCGAGAGAAGCGCCTTCTCGTCGAGACGAGAGAACAGTTTTCTCTCGCCCTACGAGACGAGAGAGGCCAATCTCTCATCTCGTCTTGTCTCGCGGCATCACTAGTAGTCTTCAATGTTAACACAAATTTTCCTCATGTTGAGATATGAAGATAGCCACTTTAGAAAATCCCCTCTGAAACCCAAAGCAAATAATTTATTTTCAATTATATTTAGATCAATGCAGTCAAAAGCTTTGGAGAGGTCAAAAAAGAGTGCCTCCACAAATCTCTTTTTATCCAACTGACCATATATGTAATTGAAAAAGCCCGTAGTGGCACTCTCAGTTGACCTATCTGAAAGAAAACCATGTTGGTGATCTGATATGATATTATATTTAAATAAAAAAGACAACATTGTGTTTGTATACACATTTCTCGAAAACCTTACAAAATACAGTAGGAACAGTAATTGGCCTATAATTTTCAAGTAATTTTTGGTTTCCTGTTTTGAAGATTGGTGTTACTACCCCCATTTTTAGATCTGCTGGAAATTTACCCAAGGCAATTGATGTGTTAATTATATGTGCCAGAGCATGAGCAATATGTGGACAGATTGTTTTTATAACTTTCATGGAAATACTGTCAATACCAACAGAGTTGGTGTTTTATAGTGAAGAAATGACTTCAACATCATGAGCACTAACACTGATAAAATGGAATGTATTTTGGACGTACATGGTGGTATTATCATTGAATACTAAATTAATAAAATGATTGTTAATAGCACTACTAGCGCAGGATGAGAAGTAATCCACGAGTATATTTGCAATATCAGTTTTCCGGGATATAATTTGATTAGCAACTTCAAGAGATTCCACATTATGTAAAATCATTTTTCCTGTTTGGATATTTACAGTATTCCAGATGATTTTTTAAATTATCTTGAAAGAATGCCCTTTTAGTTTCATTTATTATTTCAGCATATTTTTTCTTTTGTAATTTATAATTTGATAGAATGACAGCATCAGAAGAATTCTTTGATAACTAAAATAGCGCTTTTAAATCATCTCCCATCCATAGAATCTCCTCATTTTTCCATTTATTAGAGGAGCCCTTGTCATTAATACTCTTTGTTATAATAGGACAAGTTAAGTTTAAATAATAAAGAATAATATTTAGAAAGTTTATAAAAGTTTGATCAATATTGTTAGGTGATTCGTAAATTATTTGGAAATCCTCCTTAGCCAATTCGAATGACAGGTTATGCAGGTTGGCATAAGAAAGGTTTCTAAATGATGTTTTTTCTTGTTATTCACAATGAGCTCTTGCAGAATATGATCAAACTCTATAAAAAGACCAAGGTAGGTAGATGATTAAATTACCTTATTCCACAGTAGTATGAACTTTCTTCATTAAAACATGAAGGGGTATGTGT